TCTGGTCCCAGAGCAGCAGTTGGTGCTGGGGGAAGGGGCTCCCAACTGATGACACTGGAGACAAGATGGAACTTTTAACATGTTTTAATATGTATCTCCCCCATATGTTGTGAAATGACCATAACAATTCCTTCCTAATAAGGGAACATTGAGAAGATGAGTAGCTTTTACCCCAAAATCTCCAAAGCTGAGAATGCAGAGCTGCGTCTTCGTTGGTGCCAGATCCTTCTCAAGAATAATCATGAGGCTGAGTTCAGCAAAGTGAAAGACTTTCTTCAGAGCCAGGTTTGTGACTGGGTTGTTTCTATATTGATGATACTTAAGCCTGTTAATCTCCCATCATTTTCCTATTGAACTGAGAACTATCTTGGGCCAAAGGCCAATCTGATACTCTAGTGTTCTTACCAACCAGATCCTTGTGAGAATCCCACAAACAGCATTGTGCGACAGCATTCCCTGCTTATGCTAACAAACAACTGAGTACATACTGCCTCTGGGTACTGGAGGTGATATATTGTTATCATGACTTGCCACCTTATTAATAGCAGCCCCCGGTAGCACAGTGGGTTAAAGCCTTGTGCCAGCAGGACTGAAAGACTGACAGGTTGCAGGTTCGAATCCGGGGACTGCTCCAGCTCCCCATTGCAGGACATGAGAGATGTTTCCCACAAGGATGATAAAACATCAAAACATCTGGGCGTTCCCTGGGCAACGTCCTTCTCTCACACCAGAAGCAACTTGCAGTTTCTCAAATTGCTCCTGACACAAAAAAATAAACCTTATTAATAGCCCCCTCCTCTATGAAGTTCTCCAATCTGCCCATCCTCCAAGATACTGAAAAACATATAATGATACTGTCATTGTTTGGAGCTAGAAAAGGGCATACCTGGGAATGTGCCTGGGCTATCTTATAATAATCTTGGGGAGGAATTACCTGACCATCTTCTAGGTATATTGTGAGGTGCTACATGCTTCTTAGTGAGTCCTTTTGTGCTTTGTTTCAGGGAAAGCAGAAGTACACCCTTCCCATATACCGAGCCATGATGAATGGTTCAGAGACTGCCCGAGCCCTGGCTGTGGAAGTATTCTCTGCTACAGCACCACAACTCCATGTGAACGTCCAGAATTATGTCAAAAAGATCTTGGGACTGAATACAAAAGGAAACTAGGAAGAAAAACACCAAGCCAAAGAAGTCTGTTGTTTGATATTCAGCAGATGTCTGTTTATGGTGGGTGGTGGAAAAGGAGAAACTAGCTATCAAATGCCATTTGAAGGGTTGATGGTGTAGGTAGGGGACAGGTCCCGCAGCCTCCGCAGTCTGCTCTTTTCCTCAGGAATTGAATTAAAATGCTGGGAATTTCTGGGCGCTTCCAAAAAGTGTTGCTTCTTCATGGATAACCTGATGGTTGGTTTTCTTTCTTTTTAAAAGATTTATAAAGATAAGCACAATGTTACATGCACAAAATGTCAAAGTAAATCCCCCTTTGTTGTTTTCAATAAAAGGAGTTACTGATTATTGCCAGAAA